AGGGCTATAGTTTCAGCTATGTAGGCACCATCTTTGCCAACAAGTTTCACCGTAGGTACGCACAGGATTAGGTGATATAAAGCTTCCAGTTACCATAGATAATTCATCCACAGGTCACGGGCACTGGTCTTCAGCTTCATCCTGTCATAGATCATTACGTTAGAGTTAAATGGTTGACGCTGTGACGGGTGGCACCAATGTGTGCATCGTTGACATGTGCTTGCATTTCAAGCTCGAATTTTCTCCAATGAGCAATGTGCGCAGTGCAGTGTTCTCTTTTCACCAGCATCCAATACATTGTCTACCGACTAGAAGTATTGTCCCAACAGCTTGCTACTACCTGAATAGTTAACAGCCGGTTTTTGCGCGCTTCTCCAGCCATCGAGACGCACAGACCAACTTGTTCCAGCTGAAGAAACGGTGTTTGGATCGTAAATACTCGCTTGGAAGGTCCAATTGAAGTTCAAGCCAAAAGTAGTCATAACCACGGACATTCTATCACAAGTTGTCGGGCAATGAAGTGAAATATATTGCACGTCATAAAACGCCTTAATGGGCAGCACACGTCTATCAAACATACACTTTGCCTTATTATTTTCAGTTTGCTTCTTCGCACTGCCACAGGCGGTGTCCGTTATTGCACCGCTTCTTGTGTAGCTTTTATCGACACAGATCGGGACCATGAGCTGTCACTTCGACTAAAAGAGACTCCATGCTGCTCCCGCCTTGAGGCTTAAATACAGAACAGAACCGAAACAGAACCTTTCGCTAGACAGCCGTTCAGCTTCACATCAGCTCCATCGGCCGACAATCACAGGTCACATGCATTCCCAGGTCGACGGTATCAGGTGAGATGGAATGGACAAGCAACTTTCCCCGTGCCGTTGAACAGGACCCGACCAACACGGACAGGGTAAATCATGTTCTCATAGCAGGGACATAGCGAAACGTTTCCTTTATTTCCGGTGACAAACGTCAAAAAGCATCCGAAATTCTGCAAATTTGAACAAAATTCCCGCAAAATCGCCTAGTGGCTAATGTAGTTTTTAACATAAAATGTCAGCTGAGCACATCAATCCCGCGATTGAGTACCGCTCGGCATATAAAGTCATTTTGGATGAAGCAATCAGCATTATATTCACTTGCTAAAATCAGCGTCATCATGCAGTCAATCATGGTGTAAGATTTTCCTTTGATTTGAAATCATCAACCACCCATTGAAATCATGAGACGATCAACTAACTTAGGCCTCCCAGATAAACTGATTGGCATCAGGCTGAGCACAGTCTGTTAAGGCTATAGTCTAGGCCATTTGCGATCCGACTCAGAATTCCTAAATCCAGCACGGTCTAGCCACCACGGTATGCATTCTGTTTATAAAAAATACGCATAAGCATGCGCTCGCATCTCAGTCCGAGTCAACATAAAATGGCAGACGAAACATAAAAGGACGCGCTTAAGTTGACACATCCATGAAATTATATTCACAGAATGTACCCAGTTTCAAAGTTGAAGCCGTGGTTGCACTCAGCTTACGAGGCATACAACACATACCTATATGGCTCGGGGCTATTGCCAAGCAAGTCCATACTTCTCACTTAGATGCCCCATTCCTGTTTGCATGGTTTCCCATTTGGCGAATTAGCAAATTGAGAATGGTAGGAGGGTGTCTCAGTATATGTCTATGCAGTTTTGTCCGCCGCTAGGTGGTAGTGGCTGATGCTTGGCGTGTCGAAACTCATCTTTATTGCTTCTTAGCTTTGTTACTTTTGAGTAAACAACAAAATAATTCTCTAAATCTGCAGTTTGAACTAGTGCATCCAGTGCATGCATTGCCAATCAATTATGGTGGTTGAGATGTTGTGCTAATATATCAGCATAAGAGCTCGTGACTCATGATGCCGAAAATCAAGAGCTGAACTCCTTTCTTACTTTCATCATTGCGAGTAAGACCCACTGGCGGGTGCCTGGCTATTCACGCAATATTCAGCTTTGCACTACCGACCAACTCAGAGAAAAGATGCACCCAATGCGTATGGAGTAAATTATGAAACTATCAGTCTAGCAGCGAGCTCTCTCGACGGAATCGGCCCAGCGATGCGGGAGGAGCGACCTACGCGGCGCCTCTAGCCCGCCTCACGCTGTCACCGGGTGGAGTCGTGGCCTCGCGTTCAGGCCTGACTCCACTGGGGGCGATACCCTGGACATCTGTACGCGGCCGCATCATTTGCCGGACTGGAACGGGTGATGGATGTTGTCACGGTGGAAATGTAGAGGTTGTGTTTGGTGCTTACAGCTGTAATGCCGCCCAGAGGCGACAAAGCCGAGCATGAGGCATCGAAGTGGAGCTTTTCAGTGGTAAGCGATAGTGAAATGACCAATGAAGAACAGTATACTTTTTCACCAGAGCTATGGCTGCACAGAGCAATGCTCGGGGTTGTCTTGAACACGCTGTAGATTTGAACCTTAAAGAAGACACCGTCTTGATGTGCCACGCAAACGGTTGTTTTATCCCTTTTTGACAAGTCTGTCAGACGTTGCTTTTCTCCTGTTGCTGCCGCATACTGGGTGCGGCTCTGTTTTGTCCCGGCTCGAGAGGGCTATGATGACGCCGCCTCCCGGCCGGTAACTGGTGGATGGGGCTCAGGCCAGCCCCCGGACCAGACGGCTAGCAGACCAGACGGACCAAAGTCAGCTGCTGCCAGGTCGCGCAGCCGGCGCCAGCCAGCAGAGGGCCTACCAGATAGATCTGACGATCTAGCGACATCTAGCGACAGCAGTAACAAGCTCAGTTCACACCCGCGCCGTCAGTTAGCGCCACCATGCGCTCACTTCGGCTTGTTCTCGGTGGTTCGCAGCGGCTCTTCAAAGCACAACTCCAAAAGAATATCCAACGGGTTGTTGGATTCCAGTGAACCAATTCAACAGACGATTCCAAAATCCAGTTTTTTCTAGCGCGTCTTCCAGGCCCTGTTCATTCAAGTTTAAGCTTCATTATGTTCCGTAGGGGTGATTGGCGGTGTTGATTAATGAAAATAACACCTGGCTTCGGAAAATAAAAACGAATCCAGTTTGAACAGGTTATTTTCACTGCAATCACAGGAGATCTCGAGCCAAAATGCATTCCAAGTAACATGTATTGACATGGGAATCAATGTCAGCAGATGGGGAGTGAACTTATGCCAGCAGAGTAATTTGTCGTATGCCTACAAACTTTTGCTTTGACAAACTTTTTGAAGAGTAACTTCTACGAGACAAACTTTTGACGGTGAACGAATTTTTACGAAATGGCGTTCAATCAAATTATTTGTACCTTACAAACTATCGTGCAACGCGATTAACGCAACCGATTGCCAAAAATAGTCCTTGGAAACGTTGCCCACGGCGGCGCGCTGCCTATTCACACCAAGTGTTACTTTGAGTACCTGCATCAGTTCACAGGTGGCAGTACAAGTCAGTTCTCCGGCGTGGACGAAGCGCGAGTGTGGGAGGAAGGGAAGAGATTCAGTTGGCTGCGCGTCTTCTGGAGCTCAGGGGAGGTGTGTCGCTGGTCGTGTCAACCCGTCCGCCAGTGCCGCACCAGTACCGCGGGCCGGTTATCGTAGGGAACAACGTCTGGGAAGAAATGCATTGTGAACTGATTTCCCAGATCTCCAGAATCAAGTCTGGTTCGGTCCGTTATATTAGAGGCTTAATTCGAATTATTCATACTCATAGTTATGACATAAGTTATATATATATATATATATATATATATATATATATATATATATATGTGTGTGTGTGTGTGTGTGTGTGTGTGTGTGTGTGTGTGTGTGTGTGTGTGTGTGTGTGTGTGTGTGTGTGTGTGTGTGTGTGTGTGTGCGTGTGTGTGTGCCGGTATACCTTGGCAAAATATTTTCCTTTCCGTTACGCAAGTTTGATTAAAGGCTGGCCGCTGACTCCACATCAGCCAGCTTCCT